TCTTCAATTAAATACACAGATGTGCATTTGTAAGTGATGGTAGTAGGAGTTATTTAATACATAAGCATATTTCTTTGACTGGATTTGTCCCTCTGCATTTTCATATTTCATACTCATCCTTGCAAGTCTAACTTCATTACCTTAATTTCTTCTGGTGAGGAAGATCCAGAGCAGCTTCTCTGGATAGTAGATAGCTCCTCAATTCTGATGGCTTACACCATCTCTTTTCAACTACGTACCTATGTCAGGTGCAAAAAAAGACAGGTCTCATGATTTTCATTGATGTTTGCAAAGGTGTATGGGCTTATTGACCATTGTGAAATTGTTGTGCTTATTGTGATGTTTACAGGTTCATATGTCATGGTTTGCCATTAGTGTGAGTGTAATCGCACAGACTCTGTCAGACTCCTTCACTTGAAGCAGCATTTAAAAGATCATTCATATCTATTGTTTTCTCAGGTGTGAAGTTTTGATGTTTGATGAAGTTTTGAAGTTTGATGTCAATAGTCTTAGTGAACTACTACAAGGGAGTTTTACTGTATTGACCTACTTTTTTGTTTTTTTCCCAGACACATAATTTATAAAAATTAAATGCAGCGTTGGGTTTTAGAGGTCATATAACATGTCTAAGTTGTAAAAAATTAGACTAATTAATACATTTGTTTTCCAGGTGCATAAATACCTGTTGTCCCTGTTCACATTTATATGTATGCAGGACAGGCTTTCTGCAACTCTTGCTATTGAGTTGTACCTTAGAACAGGAGTTTTTCTGCTTATTTTTCCTATAAAGACATTTTTCTGACTAACTTCTATATGCAGAGATTTTTAAGGACCAAACTCATGATGCAATGAGCTGATAGTTTTTTTTTCAAAAGCTTATGTAAGAGTTTTCAAACATATTGGACGTTGCAAATGTGCTGCTATTTAGATGATCAATATTCTGTGCCATATGCTAATATGCTACAGGAAGGCACATTTGACATCCAAAGATAAGACATTGAAGCCTGTTTTTATTACAGCTTTAGACAACGGGGGAGGCACAGTGGCTTATTGTAATTCATGTCTGGTGCAGTTTTGGCACCGAGTTAAAAAAGCTGATAACTATATTCCTACAAGAGCTGTTCTTCACACTGCAGGGAAAAAAAAAAAAAAAAAAGAAATTAAAACAAAACCAAACAAACAAATAAAACAAACCCAAACCTGTAACCCCAAAATACAACTCAAACTTCTGCTTTGGTCAGTTACTACCTGTCACTGTTCCTGGCGTGCTGCAAAGGTTGTGCAATGACTTGGAAAGGGGACTGGGGGACTGGAGAGTTCTTCTACCTGTACTGCAGATTGCCTTGCAAGTAGGCACATTAGGATGAGGCATATTTGGGTTTCCATGAAGAAAATGGGAGTCTTTTATTTCTAAAACTGTCAGTTAGTATAAATAAAATATGAAGGCAAAAATAGTAAGTAACATAATTTTGGAGGGTTTGAAGGACACCAGTTTTTTTAGTGTTTTTTTAGGGCTAGTAGTAGTTGTTATTATTGTTGTTGCTGTTATTATGGTGATGATGAAGTTAGATTGTCCTGCCTGGTTATGCTGGTTCCTTGACAAACTGTATTATTTTTCCTTCCTTTATTCCTTAGAAACTTCGTAGCATCTTATATACATCATCCTTGGATTAAAATGTATGAAAGTTAGGCTGTTACAAATCTTCAGAAAATCAGTCTAATTTAATTGCTCCTACTGAAGATCAGTAGGTGCCCAACACACGGTTTTTCATATTTGCAAGTATCAATCTCTAACTATCTTTAACTTTTTGAGCTAACTTGAGGATTTTTTTTTTGCATTTCATGTTCAGGAGAGTATTTTAGAAGGACTACAGAAAGTGGTTTTATTTTATTTTATACCCAAAAGGAAGATAACTTGAGCCTGGCTTCTGATTAAATGTGTTGAAGTGTGATGATTTAAAAGGCCGAAGTATGGCTTTTCTCCTTACTTCAGCATAAGGACAAAATATTTAGTGCTTCTTAAAATAGGATACACTTTAACACCAAGGAAGAGCTCTTAAAGGAAAAAAAAAAAAGCTGCTTTTTTTTCCCCTCTTTTCATATGAAATTGAAAATCTTGTTCTTATGCATGTCTTCCTGTAGTCCACAGTCACTTAGCCAGCTGGGATGCATGTTCTTCACACTGTCATTGCAAGGCAAGTTCAACAAACAACATGACTGTCATGCTCTGCCATGAAAACTATTTATAACTAAGCAGCTGTAACTAAGAAGGTGTTATTACATTATTACATGTAAGCACTGTTCTGAAGTTGCAGCAGAGTTCAGCTCCTGGCAAAAGTGGTTCCTTTCATACTGCCACCAGTATGAGCTCCAAATGCAAATTAACGTGGCAGTGACTTGGAATTTCCACTTTCTTTGTTATACATGTTACAGATTAGCTTCCCAAAGTGGACAGTTCTTGTTCTTTTAAATAGAGGAAAACCTCCAGTTATTTAACTTCAGGTATATGAAAGAAAGTTCTGTCTTGTAAAACTTTTCCTGCCCTTCTCCTTTTAGTAAGCAATGCTTCAGGCAAGCGATGAGCCTTCCTTACTTGCAGAATTTATTCATTTCAGCAAGGCGAGTGCTATCTGCAAGTAAGTTATGGGTCCTTGATTGTAAGAAAGGTGGACTGGCATCTGTGTTGTTCCATCCTCTTATTTCATGCCTGATTTTGTTCGAGAGTCTTTAGTAACTGCTTGTTTTCTGTATCTTTGTACTTTCTTCTGCCCCTTTTCTCCTTTCCCTTCTGTATGTTAATATATTTCATATATTGTTTGTTTCTATGTATTAAGTCTCCTTTTATAGGAAGTTCACTACTAAATAACCAAATTGTGACATTTATGTCACAATTATGGGACCCTCTCTTTGACCACTCTTAAGATGCTGGTTTTGTTTCAACCCTCATTTTCTGCCTGACTGTATAGTGGGTTTCTGTAACAGGTAGGGAGAAAAAAAATATTCACACTCAGGGTAGATGGAATTGTCTTTATTCTATACTATAGGTAAAACCAGTAGTTCAACAATCCCAAGACCAAGTGCTGAGCTCACATCAATATTGTTTGCTATCCACAGCGGGCTGTGAAGCAACATAGATTATAGTTTAACTAAAAGCAAAAGAAAACAGTGCCTTCTAATGGAAAAGTTGAGAAGAGAGGAAGAAAAGCAAGTGTCAAAGTAAACCAGTGAATTAAACTGAAATAACAGGAAGAGGAGATCTTGGTCTGCTCCAGAAGTTTTATGGAAGTGAAAGAAGTTAAAAATAATATCAGCAAAGTTGTTTGCTGTGTTGTGGCCTGATAAGTGCCTGAAAAGAATAACTATTTCGGGCTTTTTGCTTTTAAACCTAACCTGATGCAGGAATGAAAACCAGGTATACACCACAGCTTGCCCATCTTCCTCTACAGTTAATAATGCAGAGTGTAATTTTCCAAAAGGAAGTGCTGACCACCAGGTTTGGGTACTTCTGTAGCAGTAGTTGCCTGTCGCTGCACATACATCTCATGTCAGGTGCTTTTCACATATGGGCCTCTGCACGTTCAGAGGCCTGAACTGTGCAATTGTGGAGATCAAAATTCTGCAAGCAAAAGTGACTTGCTTCCCCTCTCCTCCCCCTGTTTTGCCAACAGTAGTATCTTTTATGCCAGAGCTTATTTTGTGGCAGATGATAAAACGTGGCAGCATGTGGCAACAACCCGGTTTTTGCCTTCCTGTCTGCCCTTCACCCTTCAGTAAAATGAAACATTGGCAGAAGACTGATGTGACTGAAATGTTGCTCAACAGAATCCAAGTAACGAGTGTGCTACTGAAGTCAGTGGGAGCTGAGTCACCCTCGGGACAAAAGAAATAGCTTTGCTATGGAAATGATGCCTAATATAATATATAATAAAAGGCATATTGTAATGTGGCCAGTGTAATGCTGTTCACACTAATATGGCATGAGGGTGACTGATGATTCATTATTTTGTTGAGCATCTGAATTTGTTTTTTACTTTACATGCTGGCTTTGCCCTTTCTGAAATTATACCCTATCTGAAACAAACTACAAAGTACTGCAAAGGGAGGGGGAAATGAGTACTTTCTGCACTGATGGCTGTAACCGTGTTTTCATACCCAGTTATGATGCAGAATTATTTGCTTTTCACCTTGTGTGTAAACAGATAAGCACTTTTAAAATATGTCTTTGCAAAACTGACAGTTGAGTTTTCAGGGCAGCCTGGAGTCTGTTAGTTTCTGGCAGCTAGTGAGGACAGGGGATAACTGGCAGGTAACTCCACTAAAACAGCTTTGAGAGTTTCAGCTTTGTGGTCTCAAACCACAAAGCTGAAACAAACAGGATTCCTGTGCAAATGCATTTGCAGTTTCACATTCTTCCTGGATAGCAGAGAACAAAAACTCGTATCTATGAAGAAATAATATGATGCACCTGCTCTGTAAATACCAGTTGCGGAGCTGTGCCAATTACAGTATGCTCTTGTCCTTCTCCCAGCTCCCCTTCTGATCTGTTGGCTGCAAGTGATCCCATAGCTGCATGAGAATGTCCAATGCTATTGTGCCTAATTACTGAATCTTTTTTCCCTATTTCAGGTTAAGAAATGGTGCGAAAATTTACACCATGTGCGATGTGGAAGTAACTTACTTTGAAATCCATTAAATTCCCTGCCATTTCCTGTGACATATTTTCATTATTTTAATAAATATTAGAGTTCAGGAATACTATTAGTTCCTGATAAAATTTTTGTTAATGCAAAAACAGAAATTGTGGTTTGTGTACATTATTCAAATATGAGCTGCCAATTATATAGCCATTGTCAACACATCTGTATTTTTCTGTTTGCGTTCCCTCTTTTGGAGTATTTGAAGCTTTGACATTTGAGAGAAACGTTTTAAAATTTTCAGCTGTGACGGAGCTCTCTGTAACTTGTATTTTTGGTTGACTGTAGTTGCCCTTCTCTTTGCAGGAAAGGGTTGCCTTCGAGTTCAACCTTTACTTTAGAAGACAGTGCCATCTATTTGACTTCAGAACAGAGCACACTGGAAATGGAAAATGATAATGCTTCTGTTTTGGATGTCTACTTAGTAAGTAGTCAAACTGTTTCTGATGGGCTTTTTTTCATTGTAGTTCCTTTGACTCATGTTCAGTAAGTGACTAAAATACATGCTTAACTTCAAGATCCAGAGGTTTACTGTGAGTCTCTTGTATGAAACATATGAGTACCTTGCCAAAGAAAATCCTTCATCTATGTGCCAATTAACTATTGTGTTAATAATTAAGTATGCCAAAATGCCTTTCAGTTTTTCGCTAATGGTAAGGGTTTTTTTCCTATTATTTGTTTTCCGGTGTGGGGGGAATAAAAATCTTTACTCTTCATGTTGAATTTTCCACAATGTAGAAATTAAATTTTCCCAGAGAGGAGAATTCTGTGTTCACATTGGTGATTTTGAAGCCAGCGATGTAGATCTCAATATGAAGTACATTAACAATTCCCCTTTATGCTCTGAAGAGTTGTCCAGTTGTGGTGGCTGAAATATGATTAAAAAAGTATCTTTCTTTGCTGTTTTGATTCCTAGTGAGCAGTTTGTCTGACTGCTGAAAGATAACCTCAAGTTTACATCCTTACATTCATATCACCTGCATTTTAAAAATTCCACAGACATAAAGGCAGTAGGCACCCAACTCCAATTCCAGTTGGAACTGGTGGTTTTCAAGATGCAATGGGACCTGAAGCTAAATAATCTCATCTAGGCTCCCTTTCCCACAACAGGTTGGACCAGATGATCTCTCAAGGTGCCTTCTACCCGTGGTTGTTCTGTGGTTCTGTTTGCTTCACTTAACAGAGGAACCATGTCTTTTTAATAACTTTTGAATTTGTTTTATAGTATAACAGTCTTGTTTATCACGAACACTGCTCAGCACTTTGAAGTGCTTTTTTGTAAAGTTTTAAATCTGTAGGGTAGATGGTGGAATGCTCTGAAAATCTAGTGACAGACACAGGTAATACCTATGTAAAGCTCTCCTTATGACTGTCAGATGTGATGGGCATCTCTGTAGTTAGTTTTCAGCTTGTAAAATATTTGTTACTATTATGGCTGGGAGTATATGTATTCCACTGATCAGTATCAACAGAAAAATAAATAAAACCCAAGTCTGGACATTATACAAACACTTAGTGTTTATTCCCCTGAGCAAAGGTCTGGAACAGTAAATAAGTCTTAAGTGGAGAGAATCATAGATGCTTTTTTGACCTAGCAGCACACTTTCTCTGCACCCTCAAAAACCCAAGCTCGAAATTCAATAACCTGAACAAGGTAGTGGCATATACCTCAAGTGCCTAGGTATGCAATGGCTGGCAGCTTCAAGGAAATTGGTTAAGCACATGTTACTTCTTTAAGTAGCAAAGTCATCTAGAGAAATTACTTACCCCTGCCTTCTTGGTGCTGACCCACACACTGTACTGATGCTGCCTTAACTCTTTTGAGATTGCTGTGGAAGGGAGCTGTAATCAATTCCACACGTTTGTGGAAGAAAGAGGAATAAGGTGCTGCTTTGTGCGCTAATCCTGTACTTCCTGATGACCCACAATATCCTTCAACAGGCCCTGAAACAGCAGTTAGCCTCTGGTTGGGCAAGTCTGATACTAAAGGGTCAGTGATGTGTGTTATCAGCTTGATTCACTGGTGCAGAGCAGCAGGCAGTTTTATTTTTGTAGGAGGGTGATTAAATGCAGGCTAGAAGAGAAAGATGCATGGCTTTGAGAACACTAGGGGTGAGTCAGTCATTCCTAATGTATGTCTCACAGACCAATGATGTCTGCATCAGCTGATTCAATCCTCAGTCGAAAAGGTTAAAAGATGCATTCTGCCCTTTTAAAAGCATGAGAAAATGTAGCTTTAAATGGCATTCCCAGATTTTCCTTTCATCCCATAGATAATAATCCTTATATGTGTTTCTCCTGCAAGGCAAGGTGCTGCAGTCTTACCTGCTGGATAATATAATGAAAAATATCTTAACTTGCTTAATTTCAGTTATTCCACTAATCCTTTGATGTTTTTTCCTCCTGCTTTGAAATGTTAAACTTCATGGACAAATTTTAATCCTCTAGTAAATCAAAAGCTATGAATTTTTGATCTCATGAAGTGGGGCGGGGGAAAACACTAGTAAAATGGCATTGTGTTAATGTACTATTAAAAACAGCTTTAAAATGGCATTTAACTGAACAGTGTTGTGTACAAAATCAGGCAGTCAAGTAAGGTGGGGTGCAGCAGAGATTGTAAAAAAAAAAAAATAAATCAAAAGTCCTTTTACAGGTCAGAACATTTGTTTTTGAGGCGCTACATTAAGGGAACACTATACAGACTCACACCGTGCAGCTGATGTCAAAATTGAGAATTTACCCAGTTACAGCAAGAGGTTTTGTTCCAGGACACAAGTACAAGACATCATGAGTTTGCAACTGAAGGGCTGGTCTCGGCCCAGAGTTTCTTAGTTTTGAATAAAGAACCAGGTTGAGCAAACCAGCATATTGTGTGCCTGCCACTTCTAAGCATCACTGCTAGGAACACCCTCAAATCCAAGTTTATTTTAAAGTTCCATTAGTTTATTTTCTCTTCAATCTTTCAACCCAGATAATAACTTTAACAAATCTCTTCTATGAAAAAAATGTGACCAGTGATGGTCTTCAGTGGGCAGTAAGTGTAAGTCAATCTAAATTCTTTCCAAATACTCTAGTACCATACCATGGGAAAAGAACAGTGAATATTCTATAAAAATAATATTAATTTTTAATTAACGAGTGCAGGAAGATAGAAGCAGATATATAAAATAATTCAAAATGTGAAATATTTCTCTGCATAGGATTAAAACATTACAGGGTTCTTGCTTTTATGAATATGTAATACAATGATAGATCAGATACACAGAAGTGAAAGATGCTGTCTGAGATAAACAGAAGGTGTCTGGTACATGAGCCAGTGACAGAGAGGGTAACACTCTTATTTAGCACTTTGATGTATAGGTACACAAAACAACAGAGTAAAGCAGTGTTCCCTTCTTCATCTGGAAATAAACTTAAGTCCCTTTTTAAAATTCTCCCAAGGCCCTGTTTATTGGTGTCTGTTCAGGCACTGTCAGCTATATATAAGCAGAAGAGCACTAAATGTCAGAAAACACTATTGAATGTGAAAGTCTGCTGTGTTCTGTGGAATTTGATTAGTAGGAAATATAAGCCAAATCCTGCAAAAGTTTGAGAGGCCAGTAAGTCTTGAAGTAAGGGTAACAACAGACCTACAATAGAGGACCTAAAAAGTCATCATTTCTCTTAGAAAGTAAGGAGTAACTTAAAGTCATCTTGCTCCTTCTGCTCTGCAGTGGCGTCCCACATTCTTTGATTCAGTTTTCTGTGCCTGAAAAAGCAATGTGTAATTATGAACTACTCCATCTTGTTTTCTTGGCCTACCTTTGAAACGATTTTAAAAGGTAGCTGACATATTAGTTTGACAGACTACAATATCAGTAAATCAGAGTAGCAAGGCTTAAGAACTGCTTTAATTAATTTAAACACTGCAAGTAGGCTTGATTTTCTTTACACTTAAAATGGAACAAAAACCTGCATGTAAATAGCACAACAACAAACTTTGAATTTTGTTCCATTGTGATGCTATACCAAGTCATTTGGTGGCAAATACAGGATTTAAATAAATATATGTATGTCCTGCCTATGAGCTTTCATTAATGAACTATTCTGCATGAAGAATACTTATAGTATTTTTAATTTTGTACTTTATATATTTCTATTTATA